AATAGGATTTGTTGGATTTGAAGATAATGATGAAGTTTTGTTGAGATGAAAATATAAATTGGTTGGTGCGAACAAATCATTCATTGCGTAAGCAATTAAAGATTGTCGAGTACGTTTATCGGTATGTGTTTGCCACGTATGAAGGTGGAAGTCTAGTCCACAGGACCAGATATTTAAAGTTAACGTTTTATCTAAAGCTTGATGGAAAATGAATTCAACTGCTTTTTGAAGTGACCATACAGCATTTGTTGCTTTGTAAGGACGAATTTCGGTAGGACAGATACATGTATTATAATCCTCTGCAGGATCATTTGGATTGAACTCATCATTAATATCATCGGAATTGACTAAACAAACTAAGACATCTTCGGAAATACATTCATCAACCACTGGTTGATGACGAGCTAAACAATCCGATGTATGTGGATGCATTTGATTCCACAGTTTAGTAAAATACTTTTGAAGATCTAATGTATTAGTAACTTGAGATAAATCGAAAAGATTGAAATCTTCAAAAGGACCTAATTCTTTTTTAACATCTCCCCAAGCCATTAACTTATTACTTGAAGAAAATATCACTTGGCATAATTGTTGTATCGAATGAAATAAAGAAGAAGAAGTAGGTGGGAGATGTTGGACTTCAATGATGATAACTGTAGAATAGTTTTCATCATGTATTGCCTGTATCTGAATCAATGCTGGTAGAGAATGAGGATATCGTCGAGTAGGTCTATCTGCTTCAGTATCAATGGTATATAAATGAACATTGGAAATTTTGTGGATTATACCATAAAGATGAGATTCAGATGTTCGACGATGAATGAAAATAGGTGACTCATAGTTGTATGTAGGCCAATGAAAAGGATCAAGAGTAGACAATAATTGTTGATTGTTTTGAGCCTTTCGACCTGCTTTCAACCAGTTTGTTCTTTTACGTCCAGTTAAATTTGCTGGACAATTTTCCATAGTTCGTTTTAAAAAACGTTCGTGAGGATTCGCAATAGGTTGTCGATGAGGAAAAGTTGACTGTCTCATTCTCAAGTCGTTCATATTCATACGGCTGTTATACTCCGAAGGACTCGGAGATAACATAGATGAATGATGAGAATCAGACATTGCATTTGATGAATTATAAAGTGAATTGTTGAAAAAGGGAGAAGATGATTGAAGCAAAGTAGATGAGAAAGTTTGTGATTGAGATGGTAACATGAATATGTTATCATATTGGGGAAACATTGGTCGACTGTGGTACATGTTAGAAAAAGCCTATTAGAAGATTGTAAGTATTAGAAAAAAAGAAACAAATGAAAGATTCGATACATAGAACCATTTAAACGAAGAGAAAAGAAAATACGAAATTCTTGCGAATTCTTATACATCAAATCGTGTTTTCAAGATAAATATCGAGGAGATACTATTAATGTAAATCTGAGGCGCCATCACATTACATTATCTATATAAGTAAGAATCGGGCTGATTCTACCAAACTTTGAAATTAATTGGAAAAATCAATAGTCTTACTTATATTCTGACAGTATCGCAAGATACTACTTGAAATAACAAATGATACAAAGAATACGATGAAATTTCTTAGCGATGATTATAAATAGGCGAAGATAGTATTAGGCAATTAGAATAGGTCGAAGATCCGCAACATGTACCTGCGAATAGACATGATTTTCTTCATCTCGAACTTCATATATTGGATGATATACTTGAGTTATCACCTTCGGTATAGGTGAAAATTTCGAGTCTAATTTTCCTCGATTACCATGAATTCGAGTTAATACTTTATCACCAATTTTATACTGTGGATTCAGACGATTACGATCATACATATTTTTATTACATTGTTGTTGCAAAATTATATGGTATCTTGCTGCTTGGTGATAAATGCGCAAAGTCCTTTTTAACTGCTCAAAATAATCATTCGGTTTAGCAAATGAAAAGTATGATGGTCGTATATTAATAGGTAAACGAGATAATCGACCATATACTAACTCGTAAGGTGAGTATTTTGTTGTCTTATGAATACCGGTATTGTAGGCAAAAACAACCGCCTGTAGGTACTCATCCCAATTATTATCTTGAGTATCTTGTAGTTTAGCTATTTGGGGAGTAAACGTAGCGTTGAATCGTTCAACAATACCGTTAGTTTGAGGATGATATGGAGTACTATAGATGTGATTATAGCCCAGAAGATGCTTAATATTCTCCATCAGCTGGTTTCGAAAATGTGATCCTTGATCACTTAAAAGAACTGCTGGTACTCCATATTTACAAAAGTATTCATTAAACAGCGCTTGAGCAGTAGTTTCAGC